AGCAACTATCCAAACCAACCTAGCAACCACCCCAAGTACCTTAGCATCCACATAGCAACACCTTAGCAACCACCCTGGGTAGCCTAGCAAATGTATAGCAACATCCTAGCAACCACCCTGACTACCTTAGCAACCGCAAAGCAAAACCTTAGCAATCGTCCCGGGAAACCTTAGCAACCACATATCATCCACTTAGCAACCTCCCTGGGTACCCTAGCAACCACATAGCAACACCCTAGCAACTGCCCTGCGTACCCTAGCAGCCGCACAGCAAAACCCTAGCAACCAATCCTGGGTACCCTAGCAACCGCTCTAGTAACCACCCCAAGTACACTTGCAACCGAATAGCAACACCTTAGGAACCACACGGCTACTCTAGCAGCTGCTTCTATCTATCTATCTATCTATCTATCTATCTATCTATCTATTATATATCTATTATCTGACTATTTCTATCTATCTATCTATCTATATATCTATCTATCTTCATTGCAACACTCTAGCAACTATCCAAACCAACCTAGCATCCACCCCAAGAAATTAGCAACCGCATAGCAACACCTTAGCCTATTTATCTATCGTTCATCTCACTATTTCTATCTATCTATCTATCTCTCTATGTATAATCTATCTATCTATCTATCTCCATAGCAACACTCTAGCAACTATCCAAACCAACCTAGCAACCACCCCAAGTGCCTTAGCAACTGCATAGCAACACACTAGCAACCACCCTGACTACCTTTGCAGCCGGATAGCATCCCCTAGCAACCGATCTAGTAATCACCCCAAGTACACTTGCAACGGAATAGCAACACCTTAGCAACCACATGACTATTCTAGTAGCTGCATCTATCTATCTATCTATCTATCTATCTCCATAGCAACACTGAAGCAACTATCCAAACCAACCTAGCAACCACCCCAAGTGCCTTAGCAACTGCATAGCAACACACTAGCAACCACCCTGACTACCTTTGCAGCCGGATAGCATCCCCTAGCAACCGATCTAGTAATCACCCCAAGTACACTTGCAACGGAATAGCAACCCCTTAGCAACCACATGACTATTCTAGTAGCTGCATCTATCTATCTATCCATCAATCTATTTATCTATCTGTCTATCTATCTATCATCTGACTATTTCTATCTATCTATCTCTCTATCATTCATCTGACTATTTCTATCTATCTATCTATCTATCTATCTATCTCTCTATCATTCATCTGACTATTTCTATCTATCTATCTCTCTATCATTCATCTGACTATTTCTATCTATCTATCTCTCTATCATTCATCTGACTATTTCTATCTATCTATCTCTCTATCATTCATCTGACTATTTCTATCTATCTATCTCTCTATCATTCATCTGACTATTTCTATCTATCTATCTCCATAGCAACACTCAAGCAACTATCCAAACCAACCTAGCAACCACCCCAAGTACTTTAGCAACTGCATAGTAACACCTTAACAACCGCCCCGGGTACCTTAGTAACCGCAAAGCAACACCCTAGCAACCACCCCGGGTACCATAGCAACCACATAGCAACACCCATGGGTACCTTAGCAACCACATATCATCCGCTTAGCAACCTCCCTGGGTACCCTAGCTACCCTAGCAACCAATCCTGGGTACCCTAGCAACCGCTCCAGTAACCACCCCAAGTACACTTGCAACCGAATAACAACACCTTAGCATCCACACGGCTATTCTAGCAGATGTATCTATCTATCTATCTATCTATCTATCTATCTATCTATCTATCTATCTATCTATCTATCTATCTATCTATCTATCTATCTATCTATCTATCTATCTATCTATCTATCTATCTATCTATCTATCTATCTATCTATCTATCTATCTATCTATCTATCTATCTATCTATCTATCTATCTATCTATCTATCTATCTATCTATCTATCTATCTATCTTCATAGCAACACTATAGCAACTATCCAAACCAACCTAGCAACCACCCCAAGTACCTTAGCAACCGAATAAGAACACCTTAGCAACAACCCAGGGTAACCTAGCAAATGCATAGCAACACCCTAGCAACCACCCTGGGTACCATAGCAACCACATAGCAAAACCCTAGCAACCACCCCGGGTACCTTAGCAACCACATATAATCCGCATAGCAACCTCCCTGGGTACCCTAGCAACCACATAGCAAAACCCTAGCAACCACATAGCAAAACCCTAGCAACCACATAGCAAAACCCTAGCAACCACATAGCAAAACCCTAGCAACCACATAGCAAAACCCTAGCAACCACATAGCAAAACCCTAGCAACCACATAGCAAAACCCTAGCAACCACATAGCAAAACCCTAGCAACCACATAGCAAAACCCTAGCAACCACATAGCAAAACCCTAGCAACCACATAGCAAAACCCTAGCAACCACATAGCAAAACCCTAGCAACCACATAGCAAAACCCTAGCAACCACATAGCAAAACCCTAGCAACCACATAGCAAAACCCTAGCAACCACATAGCAAAACCCTAGCAACCACATAGCAAAACCCTAGCAACCACATAGCAAAACCCTAGCAACCACATAGCAAAACCCTAGCAACCACATAGCAAAACCCTAGCAACCACATAGCAAAACCCTAGCAACCACATAGCAAAACCCTAGCAACCACATAGCAAAACCCTAGCAACCACATAGCAAAACCCTAGCAACCACATAGCAAAACCCTAGCAACCACATAGCAAAACCCTAGCAACCACATAGCAAAACCCTAGCAACCACATAGCAAAACCCTAGCAACCACATAGCAAAACCCTAGCAACCACATAGCAAAACCCTAGCAACCACATAGCAAAACCCTAGCAACCACATAGCAAAACCCTAGCAACCACATAGCAAAACCCTAGCAACCACATAGCAAAACCCTAGCAACCACATAGCAAAACCCTAGCAACCACATAGCAAAACCCTAGCAACCACATAGCAAAACCCTAGCAACCACATAGCAAAACCCTAGCAACCACATAGCAAAACCCTAGCAACCACATAGCAAAACCCTAGCAACCACATAGCAAAACCCTAGCAACCACATAGCAAAACCCTAGCAACCACATAGCAAAACCCTAGCAACCACATAGCAAAACCCTAGCAACCACATAGCAAAACCCTAGCAACCACATAGCAAAACCCTAGCAACCACATAGCAAAACCCTAGCAACCACATAGCAAAACCCTAGCAACCACATAGCAAAACCCTAGCAACCACATAGCAAAACCCTAGCAACCACATAGCAAAACCCTAGCAACCACATAGCAAAACCCTAGCAACCACATAGCAAAACCCTAGCAACCACATAGCAAAACCCTAGCAACCACATAGCAAAACCCTAGCAACCACATAGCAAAACCCTAGCAACCACATAGCAAAACCCTAGCAACCACATAGCAAAACCCTAGCAACCACATAGCAAAACCCTAGCAACCACATAGCAAAACCCTAGCAACCACATAGCAAAACCCTAGCAACCACATAGCAAAACCCTAGCAACCACATAGCAAAACCCTAGCAACCACATAGCAAAACCCTAGCAACCACATAGCAAAACCCTAGCAACCACACGGCTATTCTAACAGTTGCATTTATCAATCTATCCATCTATCTATCTATTTATCTATCTATCTATCTATCTATCTATCTTTCATCTGACTATATCTGTCTGTCTATCTATCTATCTATCTATCTATCTATCTATCTATCTATCTATCTATCTATCTATCTTCATAGCAACACTCTAGCAACTATCAAAACCAACCTAGCAACCACCCCAAGTACCTTAGCAACCGAATAAGAACACCTTAGCAACAACCCCAGGTAACCTAGCAAATGCATAGCAACACCCTAGCAACCACCCCGGGTACCATAGCAACCACATAGCAACACCCTAGCAACCACCCCGGGTACGTTAGCAACCACATATCATCCGCTTAGCAACCTCCCTGGGTACCCTAGCAACCCCATAGCAAAACCCTAGCAGCCAATCCTGGGTACCCTAGCAACCGCTCCAGTAACCACCCCAAGTACACTTGCAACCGAATAGCAACACCTTAGCAACTACACAGCTATTCTAGCAGTTGCATCTATTAATCTATCTATCTATCTATCTATCTATCTATCTATCTATCTAACTATCTATCTATCTAACTATCTATCTATCTATCTATCTATCTATCTATCATCTGACTATTTCGATCTATTTATCTATTTATCTATCTATCTATCTATCTATCTATCTCCATAGCAAGACTCTACCAACTATCCAAATCAACCACCCCAAGTATCTTAGCAACCGCATTACAACACCTTAGCAACCACCCGAGTACCCTAATATCCACATAGCAACACCCTAGCAACCGCCTGACTGCCTTAGCAACCGCATAGCAACACCTTAGCAACCGCCCTGGGAACCCTAGCAACCGCAAAGCAACATCCTAGCAACCACCCCGTGTACCATAGCAAACACATAGCAAAACCCTAGCAACCACCCCAGGTACCATAGCAACCACATATCACCCCCTTAGCAACCTCCCTGGGTACCCTAGCAACTATCCAAACCAACCTAGCAACCATCTCAAGTACCTTAGCATCCACAGAGCAACACCTTAGCAACCACCATGGGTAGCGTAGCAAATACATAGCAACACCCTAGCAACCACCCCGACTACCTTAGCAACCGCATAGCAACACCTTAGCAACCGCCCCGGGAACCCTATCAACCGCAAAGCAACATCCTAGCAACCACCCCGGGTACCATAGAAATCACATAGCAACACAATTGCAACCACCCCAGGTACCTTAACAACCACATATCATCCACTTAGCAACCTACCCTAGCAACCACATAGCAACACCCTAGCAACTGCCCTGCGTACCCTAGCAGCCGCACAGCAAAACCCTAGCAACCAATCCTGGGTACCCTAGCAACCGCTCTAGTAACCACCCCAAGTACACTTGCAACTGAATAGCAACACCTTAGGAACCACACGGCTATTCTTGCAGCTGTCTATCTATCTATCTATCTATCTATCTATCTATCTTCATAGCAACACTATAGCAACTATCCAAACCAACCTAGCAACCACCCCAAGTACCTTAGAAACCGAATAAGAACACCTTAGCAACCACCCCGGGTACCCTAGCATCCTCATAGCAACACCTTGGCAACAATCCCGGGTAACCTAGCAAATGCATAGCAACACCCTAGCAACCACCCCGGGTACCATAGCAACCACATAGCAACACCCCAGCAACCACCCCGGGTACCTTAGCAACCACATATCATCCGCTTAGCAACCTCCCTGGGTACCCTAGCAACCACATAGCAAAACCCTAGCAACCAATCCTGGGTACCCTAGCAACCGCTCCAGTAACCACCCCAAGTACACTTGCAACCGAATAGCAACACCTTAGCAACTACACAGCTATTCTAGCAGTTGCATCTATTAATCTATCTATCTATCTATCTATCTATCTATCTATCTATCTAACTATCTATCTATCTAACTATCTATCTATCTATCTATCTATCTATCTATCATCTGACTATTTCGATCTATTTATCTATTTATCTATCTATCTATCTATCTATCTATCTCCATAGCAAGACTCTACCAACTATCCAAATCAACCACCCCAAGTATCTTAGCAACCGCATTACAACACCTTAGCAACCACCCGAGTACCCTAATATCCACATAGCAACACCCTAGCAACCGCCTGACTGCCTTAGCAACCGCATAGCAACACCTTAGCAACCGCCC